AAAAAAAAAACAATTTAAAAATCGTAGGTGTCCAGACGTTGAGGGAGCGTACTACCGCCGCCACCCAGTAGGAGAATCCTTTGTTAAGGATCAGATAATACACCTCTAGGTCCAGTGTGTTGTACTTAATATGGTAGGGACTAGGCGTCCCCCCCCCACTAAGTCCCGCAGTCTTCGAAGCAGATATCCAGCCCCAGTCGGGCAACGTATCCTCCCTCCAGTATGAGTGGAGAAAAAATAAAAAAGGAAGGAAAAGGCATAACCGGAGCCAAACAAGGTTAAACTTTAGACCCGAAGGCCAACAGGAGGCACATTCCACACAAATTTTATGAAGGAGCTTTAGGCCTCTGTCCACCACACATTAGGCCCAATTGCCTGGCAAATAGGGGGGGAGCGGAAAATAGCACGCTGATCCAGTATCCAGACGGTCTTTTCCCACAATAAATCCAGAAGGGTGAGGCAGGAGAGAAAGCACCAGGCATCCGGAGCTGGGAATCGCCTACCCCAGCGCGTCCAACCACTCAGCCGCTGATCCAGGTGAGTCAAACATGTGGACCGTGCCCGCATGGGGAACCCGAAGTCTACTCGGGTACAGCATGTTGTACTGGATGCCCTTTTCCCTGAGACGGCGTCTCACCTCCACAAAGGTCTTCCTCCGCTTCTGAATCTCCGCCGAGAAGTCAGGAAACAGACGGACCGAAGCATTTTCGTGGCGGAGGTCCGGGTAGGTCCTAGCAGCCGCCAACACCTTGTCCCGGTCCCGGTAGTTGAGAAGTCGTGCCAGAAATGGACGTGGGGGGGCCCCCGGGACAGGCCTCCCAGTTGGTACCCTGTGTGCCCTCTCCACCACAAAGGTGGGGGGCAACTCATCCAGGGCCAGGACGGATTTAAAGAACGACTCTGTGAATTGAGCAGGCCTCTGGCCCTCCGCTCCTTCAGACAAGCCCACAATGCGCACGTTATTGCGCCGCATTCGATTCTCCGAGTCATCCACCTTTGCCGCTAGGGTCTTAACTGTACGCCGGAGGTCTTGTATAGCACTATTATGGTCCTGGACTGAGTCTTCCACCTTCCAGCCCCTCCCCCTGTCACGGCAGAGAGCTGTGACAGGATTGAGAGGTGAGCGAACCCGGTATGTGTTCGCTCACCTCCCGATCTACTGAGCCGACCTGTGACAGTCTCATTGTCACAGGTCGGCTTAGAACTATGAGGTGAGTGGAAATCACCCCCCCTCCCCCCTCATAGTTCTCCTTTAACCCTTTAGTGGATGGGTAGTAGTACAAGCACCCCTTACTTTTTCAGAAGGGGGGAGGCGGCATTTGGGTGCCCCTTTAATAAAGGGGTACCTTGATGGGAACAAGCCCCCTGCCCGCACCCCAACAACCCACGCCCCAGGGCTTGTAGGGAAGAGGCCCTTGTCCCCATCAACACGGGGACAAGGTGCTTCTCCAGGGGCGACCCTCCCAGTGCCAAGGGCATGTGGCCTGGTATTGGAGTGGGCGCTCGCTCATCCCTCCCCCTTTTCGGGCTCTGCCAGGCCTGTGCTCGGATCAAGGGTCTGGTA